CCCCAAAACCCCAAAACCCCAAAACCCCAAAACCCCGAAGTAGGCGGCTGTAATTGAACCTTAGATATACTTATGCCATTTCAAATCCAGCTCCAGACTTTATCGCTATCAGTATCTTCTCGTACATCATCTTTTCTGAAGAATAGTAGGGGAGTCTTAGGATATTAAATCATGTCTGCGCTGAAGGTAACTTGGAGTCCTTCACTGATTCTACCTTTGAAATGGTGAATGGAGGTTCCATGTATTTGAAACCCATCAAGGGCTGTCTAGGACAACTAGTAACGAATCTCATAAGGAGGGACTTTTCTTTTTCTGGCATATTTTCTACTACTTTCCAGAACATCCTGATCATCTTACTGCTGGGCTTGAATCCTCCTACATATTTTGTATATTTCTTCCATTCAGCAACGTTGATTGTTGATGAGGTTCCAGAGATCAATTTCTGGATTTCATCTTCAGTGAATAATTTAAGATAAGATACAGGGATGATAGAGTGGAATCCTTTACAAAATGCATTAAGCTTATCAATAATCCTTCTATTAAGCTTGAAGTCCATCATTAAGTATACATACTTGAACCTATTCTCTCTGGTGACAGGGATGTCTGAACCATGAGGAACGAGATTGTGGGTAACCATTTCACCTGTGATTTCATCCTTTTCCTGTCAGGAGAAATCTAATCACAAGTCTTCAAAACTTCCCTCATAAGTTTTTAAGAAGTTCAAGTTCTTAAAGAGATCTTTATCAAGAGATTTCAGGTCTGAAATCATGTTACTCTTGTTCGCTAGCTTTTTCAAGAAGAATTTGGCAAATTTTGGCTCGATCAGGATTCCATCAAACATTGCTTTTCCAAGAATCTTCCCGAAGAAATTATAATATTGCAAAATCGTATCTTCTGAAAGATGCTCAAATAATGAATTGTGAGGATTTGGATAGAGGTCTTCATCTATTTCAGTTTTTGTGAAGAATCCAAAGTTTGGCTCAAATATGATCTTCGATATTTCAACTAAGAACTCCTTGAAGATACCTCCAGCATCTTGCCCTTCCTCTTCAATACCGTAGTGATTTACAAATGTGATTATTAAGGTGCCTCTGAGGTCTTCAACTTGGGAAAGAGTCTGGAACCCATCCTCAAAGATTTCATCTCTATTAATCTTCAACCTGTAGCGATTGCCTTTATACTTATATCTCTCATTTGAGACATATTGGTTGAATAGAATAGCTCTGACTCTGAAAGGAACTCATTCTGGGATAGTATGGATCAGTTCAACTATATTCTCACTAAGATGATCTTCCTCAGTGATTGTTTCCCAGGCAATATCCTTAATATGGAATAGGTCATCCTCCATATCATCATCTTCAAGCTCATTAATGAACATATCAAAAAGTAGCCTGAGAAGAGATGAGCAGGTCATTAAGATGAACTTGTCAAGCTCAAATCTAATTCTCTCTGAAAGAATTGTATCTACTACAAACTGCTTAAGGACAGCCACAATTCTTATGACGTCATGCTTCGAGAACTTTGTTTCTCTGTTAAAGTCTTCAATAGAAGAAATCCACAGATTTCTGATGATAGACTGACTGAAGATACAAATTAGGTATGCGTACATGTTATACTCCTTCTTGTTACTCTCTTCTTTATGAGAGTAATTTTCAGGGTCAAAGTATAAGTTAATAAAGTTCCAAAGGGAGTACAACAAATCAGGCTTGAAAGCAAGCCCTATTGAGATGATGTCTGAGAAATTCAGATGCTTCTCGTTCAGCATTAAGCTCGGGCTCTTAAGTGATAGCATCATTAGCATAGCATATATCTTACAAAGAGACATCACAGAGCTAGGGTTAGTCTCTTTATAGCTGCCTGAATCCATATCACTTTCTGAAACATTGTCTTGAGGGAGTACTAGGGAGAATAGCTTCCTCACTGTACTTGAGTCCACTAAGTAATTTAGTTGATTTTTCAAGAGGAACATGTTGAAATTACTATCTAAGTAATTCTCTTCTTCTGAGAATAACTTTGCTGGTAAATGGATAACTGTCTTATCAAGCACAATCAATGCGGAAGGAATGCTATTGTGCTCTACTTTGATGAAATATTTATTCAAAAGTACAAAAATATTGGCAAAAATGAACATTTTCTTCTCGCTTTTCATGCTCTCAGCAAGCAAATTTCCTTCACTTTCAGATTTAGTTTCGATCTTCTCTTCTTCATACGGATTTTCATCAGTAATCCTGGATTCTTTTGAGAAATAAAAAGAATTAAACAGATTCTTAAAGTTTAAATCATCAATCTGGCCAAGCATTTGCTTGTAACATTTAGCTTCATTTTCATCATCGTCGTTATCAAAATTCTCTTTCTTCAGCATCACATACATGAAACTACCAACTCTTGGGATAGATATGATCTCATTCACAAAGGCTTCATTCAGGAATACAAGTGAGTCATATCTCAGGTTAGATTTAATCGGAGGAATGAGCTTATCCTCCTTCTCAGCCTTCCTCTCCAGATCATTTTGGGACTGGAACAAGGTAAATAAGTTCTTTGATAGAATTATTGAATGATAAATCATCCATCTATGGCTCACTGTCAGGTCAGTCAACCCTTTTGTGTTCATAAGGATACAGTTTCTCAGCATCTTATATAGCTTGTCAAGAGGTTGTAACAATTGGACTATGAGGACGAGGAAAGCTTCCTTATTCATCAAATTTTCCTCAGTGTTTTCAAATATCAGCACTTTCATAATCTGAGTTGTCTGAAATAAGAATTTTATAATCTGTCATCTGATTTGAGTATTCATCGTTTCGAAGTTATCAAGCAGATTAGAAATAAAATCTTTAAGGAATTTAAAACTGGTAATTCTCTGCTCTTGAGCTTCCTTGCTAGATTGGTCTGAAATCCTGAGTATTCTCTCACAAATTAGATAAAGTTTACTATTTTGTAAATCAGTGTATTGGTCTTCAGCTCCAGTTTCCTGAAGAAATCTGAGCATTTCTAACAGTTCTCCTGAGTACATAATCTCAGTCCTCTTCAAAGTAGAGGTGGTTCCACCAAACCTGCGTACTTTCTTCCTTAATTTATTATACTGAATTGGTCTAGGAGCAACCTGTGCTAGTAGATTAAATTCACTGAGAAGCTTCAGGATGATCTTTATACTAATTTTTGATTTGTTCTTTTGCTCAAGTTTTTCTATCATTTTCAACTTCTTAGAGAAGATACATTTGCACTTATACTTAGACATCTTCTCAGCAAGCTTATTTACAATGGGGTTCAGTGCAAGCTACCTTCTCGCTCATGGTAATCGATTCAAAAACATGAGTGTTACTGAGATAACTCCTGCAGAAGTTCTGGATGAGAAGAATCGCCTGATCTTTCTTGCTATCAAACATTCTTTTCTCTTTCTCCTGGTGGAAGCGTTCAAAGACGGTTTTCTTCTTCTTTTTCTTCGCAAACATGAAGTCTATGTTGTTAGGTTCCATTTATGATCAATATTCTTATGATTTTATTATTAATTCTACCAAATTTATCTTAAATGGGGTTTTGGGGTTTTGGGGTTTTGGGGTTTTGGGG